TTGGCGCTCAAGCGATCCTCCTGCCTCAGCCTCCCCAGTTAGCTGGGACTACAGGCATGCACCATCGGTGCCCGGCTAATTTTTTCTATATATTTTTAGTTGGCCAATTAATTTTTCTATTTTAGTAGAGCGGGGGTCCGCTCTTGCTCAGGCTGGTTTCGAACTCCTGAGCTCGAGCAATCGCCCTCCTCGGCCTCCAGAGTGCTGGGATGACAGGCGTGAGCCACCCGGCCCGGCCTGAAACCCGTCTTTTCTTTGGAGGCTGTTTCGAGAATGGCCAAAACTGGCCCTGGGGAAAGGTCCAGCGGTGCCCGGCGGGTACTCAGGTTTAAAATGAGCATCATTTTATCGCCGGTTTGTGTCATTTGGAGGGAGGCAAAACGTCCCGAGATGGGGACCGAATGATTCAGCCACTGCTGCTCTTGCCACGGCAAAAGGAGAAGCACCTGCTCCCCCAGTCTCTGAGGACACGGGAGACAGACAAACCGGGTGGCGTGGGGGGGATGGGGGGCAGAGGAAACCCGGAGAGACCCCCGGCGCGGACGCGGACCCACGTTCTTGGCCAGTTCTGCAGCAGGCTCTCCACTCCTTCCGGAAGATGTTGGCGCCGGTGAGGCTGCCGTCGCCGCCGATCACACACAGGTTGGTGATGCCCAGCCGGCCAGGTTGCCGGCGGCCTTCAGCGGCCCTCGCGGCTAAGGAAGTCTTTGCAGCGCGCGCTGCCGATGATCGTGCCGCCCTGGGGAGGAGAGCAAGCAAGGGAGGTCACTGGTTCTCCTTTTCACCCAGACAGAAAGCCAGACGGGCCAGCACCGCACAGACGGACGCACAGACGTGGGACTTTGGAACTTGGGTTTTCCTCGTGTTCCTCTTTGGAGCCAGTCAACCGTGAAAGTCTGTGATTTTTTCCCCCCATTTTCAGTCCCTAACTGGAACTATTTATTATTATTAATTTTTTTTTGGTAAGAGGGTGGGGTCTTGCTATGTTGCCCAGGTTGGTCTCAAACTCCTGGCCTCAAGCGATCCTCCCACCCCAGCCTGCCAAAGTGCTGGGAATGACAGGTGTGAGCCGCACCATGCCTGGACGATTTTTTTTTAAACTAGAATTCTATGGTCCAAGCACACTCATCACGCCAGGAAGCCATCCAGGGTGGAACCAGTCCCGTGGCAGCCAGCAAGTACCCGCAGTGCCAACCCATTTGCCAGGCCGCAGCGGCAGCCCCTCAGGGCCCTGGGACACCCTCCTGACACCGGCCAGGTGAGCTCAACAGGTGCTCAGGGACCAGAGAGGAGGAGCACCCGGCAGCGCCACGCGAGCCTGGAGCCCCCGTTAGTCCATTCACCGCTGGGCAAGTGAAAGGAGCTGGAACACTGGCCCCAAGGGGTTTGTTTTGTCCTTGTTCCCTGTCCCCTTTTTAAAGGTGAAATCCTGGCCGCGCGGTGGCTCACGCCTGGTATCCAGCACTCTGGGAGGCCGAGGCGGAGGATCGCTGGAGGTCAGGAGCTCGAAGCCAGCCTGAGCAAGAGCAAGACCCGTCTCTACTATAAAAAGAAAGAAATTATTGGCCAACTAATAGAACTAATATATATATAAAAACTTAGCCGGGCATGGTGGCGCATGCCTGTAGTCCCAGCTACTCGGGAGGCTGAGGCAGGAGGATTGCCTGAGCCCAGGAGATTGAGGTTGCTGTGAGCTAGGCTGACGCCACGGCACTCGCTCTAGCCTGGGCAACAAAGCGAGACTAAAATAAAATATAAATAAAAATAAAAAATAAAAAAATAAAATAAAATAAAAAATAAATTAAATAAAATAGTGAAAACCTAAGAAAATTAAATTTGATCATCCAAACCTCCAGAAGAGACAAATGATGATCTGTCACACTTGGTTTTGCAAAATCTAAGAACTGTCCGTGGTGCCTAGAAAAATGCAGGATTCGTTTAAACCAATCCCGGGCACTCCTGTGAAAGTCCAGTTTGCACTCGAGCCCTGCGGGACACGCCTGCGCGTGGAGACGGACCCCGCGGGCACACGGCTCCCCGACAGCCGCCAGTCTGCGAGTCGTGCTTGCTCTGACACACACGGGGGCTGTGCCCGGCTCCCCGGGGCGCGAGAAGACTGATCCAAACCCTAAAAATTCACCCGTTTTCACGGCCACCATTTAACGGGTCGGAATGTCATAGGAAGGTTCCCGATAGCAGTGACGTTCTTGCAGCACCGCCCAGCCTGCACCGCCTAGCGGGGACGCGGGGTCCGCCCTCACACGTACCCAGTGTGGCCGGGACAGTGCTCGGACCTGCAGTGGGGGCGGCACCCGGAGGGCCACCGAGGGCGGACGCCGGGCTAAGGAAGTACACGGGCGAGGTGAGCTGCCCAGGGGAGGGCGCCCTGCACGTGGCCTCACGCTCACGGCACAGAGACGCGGCACGGGGACACACACGTGCACACTCCCACACACAGCATGGACATACACGCACCCTCCCCCGCACACAGCACAGACATGCACGCATGTATGTACATGCACACATATGTGCTCGCACATACGTACATGCACACTCCTTTACACAAAGCAGATACACACAGCACAGACATGTGTGCATGTATGTATACAAATATGCACACTCCTTTACACAAAGCAGACACACATATACATACAGCATAGACATGCACACACGTATGTACACACATGTGCACACTCCTTTACACAAAGCAGACACACATACACACAGCACAGACATGCACACACATATGTACATGCACACATATGCACACTCCTTTACACAAAGCAGACACACATATCCACACAGCAGAGACATGCACACACGTATGTACATGCACACACGTGTGTACATACGCACACTCCTTTACACAAAGTAGACACATACACACACAGCATAGACATGCACACACATGTACATGCACACATATGCACACTCCTTTACACAAAGCAGACACACATATCCACACAGCAGAGACATGCACACACGTATGTACATACATATGCACACTCCTTTACACAAAGTAGACACACACAGCATAGACATGCACACACATGTGCATGCACACATATGCACACTCTTTTACACAAAGCAGACACACATATACACAGCAGACATGCACACACATATGTACACAAGTGCACACTGCTTTACACAAAGACACACATATACACATATCACAGACATGCACACACGTATGTACATACATATGCACACTCCTTTACACAAAGCTGACACACATATACACACAGCACAGACAGCCCAGAGGTATCCTTCACACGCACCCTACAGAGACACCCTACACATACACACACACCTCACACGCACTCGTGAGACATACATGTAAGGCACACACCACAAATACAGCCCTACACATAAACCACATGCCCAGAAACACCACATACACATACATGCCCAGTTCTCACACACACACACACACACACCGCACATGCAATGCACACACACACCAACACATGTAAAATACTCACTGCATCCGCACAGACTCGCACCCGCCACACTCACATCCTATCACACGGACGCCCACGCTCCTCACCGCACGCCTCCCTCCCGTCTTCGGGTCTCGCTCACAGCCGCAGAACGGGTGCGACTGCCCTCCTGCCTGGGATCCCGCCAACGGGCCCCCAGTTCTGCAAACGCCGTCCCCTATGGCGGCCGCCGCACCCCCGCCACCGCCCTCCAGGCGCCCCCCGAGTCTGAGACACCAGCGCCGTTCCCAGGGAAGGCGCCGGCTCCGTTTCTTCCCGTTAACCGGTGCTCGTGACGAGGCACACATTAACACACAGGCTTCGGAAGGTCGAACCACAGGAGCTTTCCGAGATGTCCATGCTCTCCACGCCGCCTGCGTCTCAAGCCGTCTGGAGCCCTCGCCACGGGAGTTCACGGGATATAAACTCTGTGCGCTCAGAGACCACCACCTTATGGACTATAAAAGCTGCCCGCTTCACCTGCAGTGGCAAATACCTCACTCTCTGCACACGACAAGGAAATCAGCCCCGATTCAGACCAGGACGGGGACGCTGTGTCCCTAGTTAAATTCCCAGCCCTCGGAGGCTGCCAGGTGGAACCTTTCCCAGGCCCTGTTGTGTTAGCATCAACGCTTCATGCCAGGGGACGTGCAGAGACCCAGCGGACGCGGACATCCGCAGCGGCACACACACGGCACCCGCAAACCGGCGTGGCCTCGGCGTCGTGAGTCTGGGGTAAGACGCAAAAAAACCCCTCCTGGGAGTTCCAAAACGGACCGCAGCCGTTGCTGCTAACTTCTTATTGCAAGGACCATTTTAGAGTTGGCAGCTTGTAAAGCTTTTCATTAAGAACAAAAACAGAGAACAAAGCCTGAATTAAATGAGAAATTAAAAGTGTTCTCTTTCCACGCAAATAGGTAAGAATAATGATAGCCCATCATCAGTCTGCTGTTAAGTGGCACTAAAGCACAAATGTAAAAGGTTCCCAGCAGCAGAGCCAGTAATTTAGAGAAACAAACAGCAGCACGGTACTCACCACTTGCAGAATGCTGGAAACGCTCTCCCAGTCGGCTTCTGCAATGTTAGTGCCTCCGTCCACCATGCCCTGGTAACCCTAGATGAGACAGCGAAAACACGAGTTAGCCTGTATTATCACGCTGATGGAGCCTTAGAGGTCACAGACAATGGAAATTACAAATGACCACGAACATTAAGTCCCTGAGCATCCAGGAGTTAGAAGTCACAGCACCATGCAAGTGCTGGGTAGAAATATTAAATCATGAGAAAGGCTCTTAAATTTAATCCCTAATGATGGGAATTTCCACCCAGACTCACCCAGGGAGTACAGTAAGGAATACAGGGCCGGGCGTGGTGGCTCACGCCTGTGGATCCTAGCACTCAGGGAGGCGGAGGAGGGGGGAATCGCTCAAGGTCAGGAGTTGGAGACCTGCCTGAGCAAGAGTAAGACCCTGTCTCTACTAAAAATAGAAAGAAATCAGCTGGACAACTAAAAATATATACAGAAAATATTAGCCGGGCATTGTGGTGCATGCCTGTAGTCCCAGCTACTCGGGAGGACTACAGGCATGTCCCACCATGCCTGCTAATTTTTCTATATATATTATTTGCCAATTATTCTTCTATTTATTGTAGGGACGGGGTCTCATCCTGCTCGGCTGGTTTTCGAACTCCTGACCTCGAGTGTCCGCTCGCCCCTCCCAGAGTGCTAGGATTACAGGCTGAGCCACTGTTCCTGGCCAAAGGGCATTTTTTTTTTTTTTTTTTTGAGACAGGAGTCTCACTCTGTTGCCCAGGCTAAGTGAGTGCCGTGGCGTCAGCCTAGCTCACAGCACCTCAAACTCCTGGGCTCAAGCGATCCTCCTCCTCAGCCTCCAGTAGCTGGGACTACAGGCATGGCCAACCAGCCCGGCTAATTTTTTTCCATATATATATTATGTTGCCAATTAATTTCTTTCTATTTATAGAGAGATGGGTATCTCGCTCTTGCTCGGGCTGGTTTCGAACTCCTGACCTGGAGCTCTCCCCTCCCACCTCGCCTCCCCAGAGAGCTAGCTAGCATGACAGCCGTGAGCCTCCGCGCCCGGCCAGAGGGCAACGCTTTAAAATTAAAAAAACGAAGAGCAGACCGCGATCGGTTTCCCTCGCGCCAGCTTCCAGACTGGCCCGAGTTACAAGCCCGCACGGGGACGCCCCTCTGTGGGAGATTCCGGACGGCGGGAAAACGCCCAGGAGGCCCCCCCTACCTCTGGCGGTCGCTGATGGGTCCAGACCTCGATGATGCGGTGCAGGCGAGTCCGTGCCGATGGTCATGTCCGTGCCGCAGAAGTCGTTGTCGATGGAGCCCACCATGCCCACCACGTTGAGGTGGTCGCACTTGTGCACCTCCTCTGCCTCGATCTGGCCTGCAGCGGGGGGCGGGCGGGCGGCAAGTCTCAGCGCCCGGCGCCAGACACGCCCGGCCCCGACTCTCCCCTCCGCTTTCCTCTAATCCCTCAACCCGCGCGACCATCCTTCTGTGCTAGGAAAGAAAGCAGAGCAAAGCGGGGGCCTCAATGCGACCATGAGCCGGCGTCCCAACAGCGAGAGCAGCGGGTGACACGGACGTAAAAACAAAAGGGGGGTCCGGGGTTGCAGTCGCGCATAAAAATCTCGGTGTTGCCGTGTTTCCCCGAAGATAAGACGGGTCTTAATTTATTTTCTCAAGAAGATGCCCTAGGCTTGTTTTCAGGGGATGCGTTATTTTTTTTTAAGTCGGTACAACCGTCTCCATTTATTCAAATAGAGTTGAGTCGTCTTCTTCTGGAACATCATCATCACTCTCCAACCCCCGGAATTCCATCCTGAATGTCTTGCGACTCTATTTCCTTTAGAACGTTGGCCAATTCTCATGTCGAGCACAGAGCTTCACGGGCGAATGAGATAGGGCTGCTCGTCTTTTCCCGCTCCCGCGCGACACCCATGGGTTGTGCAGATGCGCTGGCAGCCACACCCGGTCACTAGGGCTTATTTTCAGGGTGGGGCTTTCATGCGCACATGCTTAAAATCGCTAGGGCTTATTCATGGGTAGGTCTTGTTTTCGGGAACACGGTACCCTGCAACGGCCGCAGAGAATGACGGGGCTCTGGAAAGGACTGGTGACAATACCAGAATTAAGGACCTAAGAGCCATGCATCACTTCCTTGTTGATTTCTCGTGGATCTCGGGGAGCTGGTCTTGGTCGGATTCTACCTCTGCGTCAGGACAGGGCGTGGGCGGCATTCTCATAAAGGAGAGCAGGAGGCCACGGGGCGAACGTGCTGGGCTGTGGCCCCCGCCCTGTCGTGTGCTGCCGTGGGCGGTGTTCGGCCAGAACAAGGTAGACAGGGGAGACCAGAAGGCCCCCCGCCAACTGCTGCTGACCTGTGGCTGTTCCTGCACTTAAGGAATTTACGAAACAGGGAACAAGCTGCTTGGTCACAAGTTTTATGCTTTCAAAGGTGCCATAATGCCAACATATCTTTTTTTTTTTTTTTGAGACAGAGTCCGCTTTGTTGCCAGGCTAGAGTGATGCCGTGGTCACCCTTAGCTCACAGCGACCTCAGACTCCTGGCTCAACGCGACCTCCTGCCTCAGCCTCCCCAGTAGCTGGACTACAGCATGCACATCGTGCCGTAATTTTTATATATATTTAGTTGGCCAATAATTTTTTCATTTATAGAGAGACGGTCCGCCTGCTCAGGCTGGTGTTCGAACTCTGCTTGAAGCAATCCGCCTCCTCGCCTCAAGCTAGGAGGCTGGGATGACAGGCTGATGCCACCGCAGCCGCCTGAAGCCCGTCTTTCTTTGAGTGCTGTTTCGAGAATGCACAAACGCCCCTGGGGAAAGTCCAGCGTGCCCGGCGGGTACTCCAGGTTAAAATGAGCATCATTTTTATCGCCGTTTGTGTCAATTTGAGGACAAACGCCAGAGTGGAACCAGATCGATGTGCAGCCACGCGCCTTGCCAGGCCAAAAGGAAAGGCACCTGCCTCCAAGCTCTCTGAGGACACGGAGAAGACAAACCCCGGGGTGGCGTGGGGGGTATGGGAGGCAGAGAAACCGGAGAGACCCGCCGCGACCGGGACCCACCGTCTTGCAGTTCCTGCACAGGCCTCTCCACTCCCTTCCGGAAGATTTGGCGCGGTGAGGCTGCGTCGCCGACGATCACAACGTTGGATAGCCAGCCCGACCAGGTTGCCGGCGCCTTCATAGCCGCCTCGGCTAGGAAGTCTTTGCAGCGCGCGCTGCCGTGATCGTGCCGCCCTGGGAGAGACAGCCAAGGAGTGTCACTGGTCTCCTTTGCACCAACAGAAGCAGCGCCCAGCACCGCACAGCACGCGCACAACTGGGATTCTTGGACTTGGGGTTTTCCTCGTGTCCTATTTGGAGCCAGTCAACCGTGAAAAGTCTGCTGATTTTTTCCCCCCATTTCAGTCCCTAACGGAACATTATTATTATTAATTTTTTGGTAAGAGGTGGGGTCTGCTAATGTTTCCAGGTGGTCTCAAATCCTGGCCTCAACGATCCTCCACCCCAGCCTCCAAAGGCTGATACCAGGTGTGAGCCGCACCATCCTGGACGATTTTTTTTAAACTAGAATTCTATGGTCCAAGACACACTCATCACCGCCCAGGAAGCCATGCCAGGCGTGGAACAGTCCTGCAGCCAGCCAGTACCCGCAGTGCCAACCCATTTGCCAGGCCGCAGCGGCAGCCTAGGGCCCTGGGACACCTCCTGACACCGGCCAGGTAGCTCAAAGGTGCTCCAGGGCAGAGCCAGAGAGACACCCCGCACCCATGCCGAGCAACTGGAGCCCCGTTAGTCCATTCACCGTGGTCAAGTGAAAGGACTGGAACCTGGGCCCCAAGGGTTTGTTTTGTCCCTTGTTCCCTGTCCCCTTTTTAAAGGTGAAACCTGGCCGGGCGCGGTGCTTCACGCCTGCTTTCCCTAGCACTCTGAGGCCGAGCGGGAGGATCGCTGTGAGGTCAGAGCTCGAAGCCAGCCGAGCAAGGAGCAAGACCTCCTCTACTATAAAAAGAAAAATTATTGGCCAATAATATATAGTACTAAAGAACTTAGCCGGGCATGTGGCGCATGCCTGTAGTCCCAGCTACTCGAGGCTGAGCAGGAGGATTGCTTGGCCAGGATCTGAAGGATTGCGTGGAGCTAGGCTGACGCCACGGCACTCGCTCCTACCTGGCACAAAGCGAACAAATAAACTATAAATAAAATAAAATAAAAACTAAATAAATAAAAAAATAAATTAAATTAAATAGTGAAACACCTAGAAATTAAATTTGATCATCCAAACCTCCAGAAGAGCAAATGACGGATCTCTGTCACACTTGTGCAAAATTAAGAACTGTCCGTGGTGCCTAGAAAAATGCAGAATTCGTTATAAACCGAATCCCGGCACTCCTGCGAAAGTCCAGCTTGCACTTGAGCCCTGCGGGCACGCCTGCGCGGTGGAGACGGACCGCGGGCAACGCTCCCGAATGCCGCCAGCTGCGAGTCGCGTTGCTCTGACACACACGGGGGCTGCTGCTCCCGGGGCGCCGAGAAGACTGATCCAAACCCAAAAATTCACCCGTTTCACGCCACCATTTAACGGGTCGGAATGTCATAGGGAAGGTTCCCGATAGCAGTTACGTTCTTGCAGCACGCAGGCACACAGCGGGACGCGGGTGCCTCACAAGTACTAGCGCCTTTGGGACAGCCTCGACCTGCAAGTGGGCCGCACCCGAGGCGCCACGCGGCGACACCGGCTCCAAGGAAGGACACGGCGATGACAATTGCCAGGGGAGGGCGGCTGCACGGCCTCACGCTGACCGCACACGAGAGCGGACGGGAACCACGTGCACACTCCCACCACACAGGTTGCAGGACAACACGCACCCCATCGCACCACAATACATCACGCATGGTATGATACAGTCACACATAGCGTATGTGCTCGACGATACTACATGCACACTCCTTTAAACACAGATAAACGGGAGACGCCTCTTTCTATCTGCTGTTTCCCACCATCTCGAGGAAACTGCTTCAGAGACTCCAGGCGTCCCGAAGAGAGTCA